ATTATTGTTATTATTATTATTATTATTATTAAGAACAAAATAACAAATAGAATGATAAATTGGTAACACTTACAAATGTCCCAATTGTGCCGTGGTTGAGAAAATCCCCGCATCTAATTGCTGAATTTTATTGGAGCTTATATCTCTGTAAGCAGATAAAAAAACAAATTACAACACAACTTTCAATAGTTTTAAGATATACGGATTACGATTAGTGTTTATAGAACAGTAATGTAACTGAATTAAAATGGCAAAACTAGTCGAAAAGACAATCAATAGGCCAAACGGCTTGATCAAAATTTCATTGTTATTACAGAGGCAATAAGGTTAAATTAACGCGACAATTTTCAAAACAATACAGATGGATCTACTGGCAGGAGTTCTTCGTCAATTAGCTACCAACGGGAGACACCTGCTTGTAATAACGTTTTCAAAGGAGGAACTAATTTAGGCACGCTCAAAACGTCTAATTTTTTTTATTATCAAAAGAACAAGTTTCTTTTACATTGCTAATTAGTTTTATTCTGGCTCCTTGCTTTCTGCTAAGTAAGACAATATTCCAAATACGTAATTTTTTTTTCATATCTGGCTGTCGTAATAACCCCAAACCATTACACAAAAGATGATACACTTATGTCCAGGTACTTTACTTTGTTTGGAAAGGATGTAAATACTTTCAGACTCAGGTATTAACCCCCTGCATCATGGCACCTTTTCTAAAGTTTACTTCAGTCTTTTCATTAATGACTTTATTCTCGTTGTAATTTTCCTTCTCATTTTTTTGAACTCGCCCGTTTCAGTTTTAGGACTTTTCTGAAAAGATAATTATATTACTAGAAATACGTATCTCGTATTAACCCTTGCGAAACTCGGTTTTTAATAGCGCCACTCAACTTAAGTTGTGTCGTGCGGGGTTAGGAAACTGGATGGGTAACCAGCCGCGAAGAAGAAGAAGAAGCCTACTTAATTCTTTCTTTATGTCTTCTTCTTCATCATCCTCGGAGACCCAGGGGCAGTCAGTCGGGTCGAGAGAAAAGGCGCGACGAAAGTTTCACGGTGCAAACTGGAATGTTGCTGCTGATAGCATCCGAAATGTTTTCCCGAGTCATCGGTAGTTCCTTCGTTTCTTGTTAGGGAATATAAGTACATATGAAAGTTTCCCTTGCACGCACAACCTTGGTGAACGAACCACACATGTCCATTACTCTCGACCAGATTCCAGTGGACAAAACCTGGCGTCCGACGGATTCTAGTCGAAAAATGAAACCGGAAGAACGGTAGAGCTAGTCCACTTGAGTTACCGGAAGTTTAGCCATAAGATGAAACCGGAAGTGTAAACAATACTTAGAGGAGGGTTGGAAAGTCGTCCGATCCATTGGAAACACATCGATTCCGATGGAACCTCAGGAAGTCTAGTCGTGCCATGAGTCAAAACAAGCACACTGCACGTGTAACATAACTCGTTCTTTAAGCCCTAAGTCGAGACTGGCAAGCCTAACAGGCAACAGAACTCGTTCTTAAAGCCGTGAGTCGAAACAAGCACGGTACACATAAGTCGTTCTTAAAGCGATGAGTCAAAACAAGCACGCTACACAAAAAACATAACTTGTTCTTAAAGCAATGTTCCGAAACGAGCACGCTACGAGAATGGCATAACTCGTACACACGTGAAATAACTCGTTCTTTAAACCCTATGTCCCCCGGGCCCCTTATTCGAGACGGACTGGCACGCTCAAAGCCACGAGTCGAAACAAGCACGGTAAAGCTATAAAACGGGGCAAAAGCCCTGCGAAACAAGGACATTACACAAGTATATGCATCGTTCTTTAATCCAGGAAACGAGACAAAGCACAGCAAAATAAGAACGTCCAAATTATATGCCTCGTTCTTTGAACCATGAATCGGAGCAAGAGCCTAGCAAATGGGTGTATAGGCCTTCCCCTATGAGCTATGAAGGGAACAACAGAGCTAAGAGAGAAGCCCCTACTCGCACGGGACAAGAACACGCTGCACGCGAAACAAAGACCACCAAAGTTAACTCGATCATGCGGCTGCATATTCGATCCTGAATTATCATAATCTTAATCATCATGATGATTACTATAGGACTACTAGTAAAATAATCTCTGGAATTTTACCTATGGTTTACAGTGCTGTTAATCATAGCTATGATTGCAAAAGGACCATTAAAATCATCTCTGGAATCACAACGATGATTTATAGTTCTATTAATCATAGCTATGATTCCAATAGGACTAATAAAATCATCTCTGGAATCATAACCGTGCTTCAATGATCACTTCACAGGTGGGCCTTGTGGGCTCAGCACTTTAGCACCCACTAATAAAACACAATCCATTATGGCAACATGAATAAAAATACACTGGTCTGAATGTGGGTCACTTCCAAAGGACCGTGATTCTTCTGAATGATGTCCATTAATAATATCGTTCACTGCATATTATTGTAAGCATGTTGGCATAATGGATTGTGTTTCTTAAGTGAGCACCAAAGTACTTAGCCTGTATGGGCCACCTGTGAAGTGATTTGTTAAGGTACCTCCAAATTCTTTTTGTATTTGTAAAGTGTTACAACTAATAACAATGTTACACACAGGCCATACATGTATTTCAATCAGCTCAGCAGCCAGGATAGTGGTTTAATGAAAATTAGGCTTACAAGAGCACACTACTTTATCTAACCCAACATTTTGTTAGAATTTGCTTGAGAAATTAACTCTCTGTTCATTTTAGTACCGGAAATTTTATTAACATACCACAAACAAAGTTATATAGCACTTGGAGGCCAACAATCAGGCCCTCCTTTTCAGTATACCAACAAACCTGATTTGAGTTAGCAAATACTCAACAACACTGGTTTGCATTTCTCACTTTCTTGTGGGAACAAATTCTCCTAGTACATTATACTTGAGTACCGTTATAACCAAACTCATAATTAACATAATGAAATGTAACCTCGTGATCAAGTATACTTACAGTTCTATATTTTACAGTTCACTTGCCCTCCTACTGAATTTATGCTAATATTACAACATCTATCCATAGCCATATTTGAGATGTTTTTAAAACATCACTGTACCTAATGGTAACTATACTATGAGCTACACTCGAGTAGAATTATACTGGTAGGCATAACATTGAAACTGACATTACATGGATACAAAATGTATGAAGTTATTGAACAGCTGAAGTTTTAAACCTGAGCAATATTGAACTATTATTTGTTTTGTAAAATACTTATTAAAAAACATTAAGTGATAAAAAGCTATATAAAACATTACATAAATCAGTGCTGCTCACTTTACACATCAACCAGCTGTTACAGAAATTGAAGCTGGATGATTCCAGACCTGTTCCATAAGGGCCCAGTTCAGAAAAATGAAAGAAATATGCTTTTTATCATGTTTTTTATAAACGTCGATGAAACATTGGGTGAACTTGTGTTCGAAAACATGATATCTTCACATGTCACAATAACTGAAAGTAAGAACTTGCATGTGAAAAGATCACCATTGCTATGGTAAATAACAAATGACACCTTTCACAGTATAAAAATTATTTATTTAATAAGTGAAATGGTTAAGTATTTCAGTGGCATAAAATAAATGGAACATATTGCATGGCCGCTCGGAGATATGAAATTTGTCTTCTCATGTTGAAACAATATTTCACTGCTTCCAGCAAGGCTTACCCTTCCTTCTCTGTTGGATTGCTATTAATCATACCTTTGTTGCGAAAAGCGTGGACAAAACTCTTATAACAAGTTAGAGTTAATTTGTGTTTTTCATGTAAAATCATGCATGTCCAACCCTATTCTGCACCCTACAGGAAATATGTTGGATATATGCATGCAGTTTCAATATGTAAAGGGTGTGGGGAAACAGTGATAGATTTAGAACAGGGTATTTTTCAAAAGGGTAGCACAAATAAGTTACAAATACTCAATCATTGTTCCAAAGACTTTCAATGCAGGATTGTAGCTTTTATGCTGAATATTAGACAGTGGTATTACGTCTTAAGAAGAGAGAGTAAATTCCTTTTAGCTTGTGTTTTGCTTTCCCCCAGTGTGAATGAAGAGGTGTTCGCACAACAATTTACCCATCATAACCTTAAAATTTATAGGTCTTGTGTCCAAAAATTATTGATGTGACTTATACACAATTTTAAAGAAAGTATTCTCTGGAGCACTCTCACATGGCTAGGCTTGATTTCCATGCCCTAAATGTTGTCAAACATAACCTACATTGGGGAGATGTTAGTAGAAGTCTTTACTATTACTTCTCCTCTCATAACTGTACTTAACAAAAAATTTTCTTTGCCATAGTATCATGCACTGTATTTTATTAGCTTTATAGCCACCGCACTGCTTTCAACCCACCTCCCCTGAATTGTGCAATTGCCCATGTGGATCAATGCCCTTGTCAAAGACACCTTTGTCATCTAAATTGTGCAAAGGGAAGAGTGAGCAAAAATATTCAGTACAGGGGGCCAGAGGAAAAGACAAAAAAAACATGTAACATTGATTTAAAAATTGCAAAAATAATTATGTTCCACTTAACCAATCACTTCCTTCTATCCTACTATTTGAAAAGCTTTCGCGTAATATTTCCCCACCCAAATAAAGCCAGTAACAGTGTCCATTGAAAGGAAAAAAGGTAGCAACAAAAGCGAAAAGAGAAGGGAGGAGGGAAAGCGAAATTGTGACTGCAGCTGTGTCACTTTAAAACCAAGAAACCATCTCATGCTTTCTATGCATGCCCCAACTTTTGAAAATAATATTTTCAATTTGCATCTGTAACTGAACGCTGTGAACTACACGGTCTTTAAACAGTCTTTTGGTAAGATTTAGCTCATAAGCCAGACAGTGACTAGAAAACGAAGCCAATAGCTTCAAAACAAGTTTTTCAGCAAAATTCCCAGGAGGGGAATGGGATAAAAGCAAAACAAAAACAACAACGAGCTGAACTAAAAGGATAACTATTACAAAGGGGACTCAGGAATGAAAAAAGGTTTATCAGACTGCTTTGAAGGGGCTGGTCTCACTTGTCCGTTTTCATCAGCCAGCTCTAAGAACTCCCGCACCTGGAGCTGAGTGATGCCTGGCCTTTCCAAAGCTCCCAGCAAGGCCTGTCCCTTTGCCCTTCTTTCACCTGTCACCATCTGTGCCTTCTTCAGGAATAGCCGCATTCTGCAAGTAAGACCTGACTTGTTATCTTCATTCTCAGGTGGTGGGGTAACAGCTTTAGCAGGTACAGGGGAGATATCCTCCTTGTTCCTAATTTCATTGGGGGAACCAGACCTGATAGGTTTCTTCACTTCCTCATCTCTCTTTACCTATGAAAGATTGCAAGAAAAAGGTATGACAGAGAAAACAAAATTATTTAAGGTGGCTTGACTGGATATTCTAGGGGGGTACCTTCCAAGTTTAAGCATTAACTACATCAGCATGAGTAAAGACATGGGAAAAAGGCTACCACAACATTACTGTATTATATAAACATAAAATTTCTTATTATCTGGGTTTCATTGCAAATGGAGTCGCCGTGGCAACCTAATGACGCCATTATGTTTTTATTTTTTTATTTTTGTGTTTCTCTGTACCAGGAGTGTTTTTTAGAAATGGCTTAGGGGAGTATGTACCTGCCATAATTGCTTCAATTATGGCAAAGTTTGAACAAATTCTGTGAGAGCATTTTGGAAATATTTGGAAACAAGTTTTTAGAATCATAAAAACAGTGAAATAGCATGCTATATATCCACACAATTGGCTAATATGTTAAGAAAATACTAAGCTTTCGAAACATGGTTTCATCTCATAATGATTTGATTCCATTGAAAACTGTGTGCAAAAGAAAGAGCGGAATTGCTCTGGGCGATCGTGAGTGAGAAGAATTTTATTAACCTGCATTCAGCTGCTTTTGTTACAGTTTTTGCACATAATTTGGTCCATGCTTACAAATTTCGCATTATTCAAAAAACACTTGATAAATTTTTTCGTAAACTTGCCAATCTCAAGGTCAATCGTTAATAAATATACCCTTCAAGCTTCAAGAACATTGAAAACCGTGAAGGCTTTTAAAAAGGGCCTCCAATATAACCAGGGTTGTCAGAAAGTTTTGAAGTACACAGCTGAGTTGTCAAAGTAAGCAGCCAGTCCAGGGATATTTTATTTAAAAAACGTCATCCGGAAAGAAATGCCAAGCAGAGTAGCCGGCCGATACTAACCAAGTAGGCGGCACTTTTGACCGGCAGCCTGCTACTTTTGACAACCGTGTATAACCAAATTTTCCCTTAGTGTGCTTCCTCATTATTCAGTGGCATTGTTTTCAAGTTTCATATGCACATGTACAATTAGCAAAAGAAATAAATTTACATTTAAAAGAACTCTAAATTACTTTCCAAAGAAGTATCCGCAAAATGCTAATAATTGCCCTGTGTCATGGATAGCAGTGAGAGTCGAAACGGTGAACATCAAGGCTCATCATGTAGGATGTAATACTTAATTATCTTACTCGGGTTATAACATCACAGCAACTTTTAGAAAGAGTTGCTATGATTTTCTTACAACATTAGCTAATTGTGTGGATAGCATGCTATTTCACTGCTTTTATGATTCTTAAAACTTTGTTTAAAAATACACTGTATTTCCAAAATGCCTTAATTGAAACAATTATGCCTTAATTGACGCAATTATGATAGGTACATAATCTCTTAAGCAATTTCTTAAAAACACTCCTGGTACAGAGAAACACAAAGATAAAAAATGTAATGGTGTCATTACACTGCCATGGCGACTCCGATTGCAATAAAACCCAGATCATAAGAAGCTGGCATAGTTAATGCTCAAACTTGGGAGGTATACCCCCTAAATCCAGTCAAGCCACCTTAATTCTGGCTCTGTTCAACAAACTCTTAAAATAAAATATTCAACAATTCCAAAGTCAACAGTTACATGTATTACAGTAACTCACTGTAACTATTTTCTTTCTCTCTTTTTCTCTTGAGGGCATGACAAGTCATAAGAGGCCCAGTAGAGGTCAAATATCTGACATAAAGAGGACATAGCGTGATCAACATGTTTTGGCTTGAATGTGTATTCTAAAATAACATAGAAGACGTCCTTACATCACATGTTGCCAGAGAGTTTCTTTTTCTATCTGCTTTTACTCACTGCCATAAGAGTTTCTGAATTGCAAAACACACCCAAATACCAGACTCAATTTGATTGGAGGGGAGGGTGATATTCTGCACATTAATTTTGTTGGAAAAAGTTTTGTAAGAAAATCTCTCTCTGATCGTGGGCAAAAAATATAGTATCAAGGTCATTATCATGCCAACATAATTATTGAAATTTGTTTAACACCTTCTGGTAGTTTATTATTCAAAATCAAGACAAACTTGCAGAAATTTTTATTTCTATACCTGATGCTATATGTGATGTATGTGCTGTAGCTGAAACAGGGGCGGATCCAGGATTTTTGTTAGGAGGGGGTGCACCACTAATTGACTGATGACGTAAAAAATTTTAAAAGCGAATAGGAAGAAGAGGGCTTTTGACTGGGAAATAACATAATGTGAACTGCTGAGAATACATATCAAACGATAGAGCAGATTTTGTATGTCTGTCAAGCGACTGCACAGTGTTAATTAGAAAGCGGCCGCAGGTCATCCCAGGGGGGGGGGGGGTGCGCACCCCCTGCACCCTCCCCCTGGATCCGCCCCTGTGAAATGCATTCTTGTCTTAAAACAGGGCTTTCTTTAGACTAATTTTCCTGTGCTGGAGACTTTCATTCTATTCCTCTAAACTACAATGAACATGTTATTTCTAGTGTTATTGTAATAATAAACTTTTAACAGTATCCTTTCACTAAAATCTGTTATACTTGATTGTTGCATTGTCAGATAGAAGTCCATGACAGAAAATAGCATTGTGTACATATTTATGTTGCAGAGTGGGTTCTTCCCACTTTGTTCAGGTATAGCAGATAACAAAAAGTAAATACTTTATGGAAAATGGAGTAAGTTTGAGGGCATTTAAGAAAGATCATTATTTTCGATTCAACATATTTTGCTTTTTTTGATTGGTTGCCCATGGGAAAATTTAACCTGAGATCAGGTCCAATTTTAGCGGTTCTCAGAGTATGATCTCAGGTTAGGGAAAACTGGAATTTTAGGTGACATCTTTATTGCCTCTAAAAATATTTCATGGCCATGGTTATATTTCCACTTGAGGGGTGTAATTTGCAGGTTGCAGGTTGCAGGTCAGAATTTGGAAAAAAAAAAATGTCCAGAACGGTTTACAGATCTTCCCAAGCTCTTAAAACAGAACATTACAATCATGTTTTGGTGATATCATATTCTTCACAGGGTCACGCAAAACCGGAAATATCAGATCTCAGTTCTATAAATTGATTCTTTAGCCCCAGGTCTTTCAAGGGAAGAAGGAAGGTTTTAAAATTGTCAGATCAGTTGATCTCATCACTCCTGGCAAAGCTAGCATATATAGTTACAGAAAAGACCGTTTCCTCGTCGCTATCATTGTCTGCCGTACCTACGATAGAAATGGAAATTACACTGCCAAGGTGACCCAATTTATATGTGCACTCGACTACAATCAGGGACAAAAGTAGTTGACACACATGTTGAAAAGGGGTGCTTTTAACAAACATTTAATTCACTTATTATTTCATTCCTTTTAAAGGCTGTAAATCCCCCGACCCCCCGAGTCAATGTTGTCGGAAGTAAAAAAAAAAAGACTTGAGGGTCCAAAATTCAACATTGATTTTGGGGGGAAGGGGTTGGGGTAGACAGGGGAAGGGGATAAGTATATCCACTATGCAAAAAGGGGCCATTTTACGGAAGTGTGTCAACACTTTTGTCCCTCATTGTCTGAATGCAAAATTGTGCTCCTGCACACAAATTGAGCCGTGTATGACACTGATTTTAACTGAGATTAAAGGAATCAATGACATAATTACGTTATTGGTGGTGGGGGTGACATAGACTTATTCACGACCGAATTATCGGGCCAATTCGAATTACGCGATGACGTAATAAGAGGGCTGCGATATCCAGAATTGACGTCGATATGGTTTACTAGCGAAAAACGGACGCTGAAACTCGCGCCTATGTACAACTTTTGATGAATTTCAATGGGGTGCGTACTGAAAATATTTTTAATAAAGTGAATATTTCTCGTTCTTCACTTTATCCGATTGTTAAGGCCCAAACAATCACGAATAGGGTAAGGATTGACATGTAGTGGGGATAGTCACTGGCCGGCCACGGAAATATGGAACGTTGGTGAGGAGCGGCCGTCACTGCGTTGAATATCGAAACTTCGGAAAAGTGAAGGTAAATTCATGGCCAATTCAATAAAAAACTAAGGACAGCGTAGCAAACATTGTACGTGTACACGAAAACAGTTACTTTCAATCCCACCTCCTGACACCCTGTGTTACATGATCACGCGACGCAAATAGCGTGACATAAGGGCATTTGTCTGTGTATTTCAACTGCGTTTCTCAAGCGAAACCCTTTGTTTTTGTCTATTATCGGCGGAGAAAATGAAAAAAGAGCTTTGAAACGTGAACTGGTATTTGAATCTCAAAGAAAACGACAGCTCAAACTGAGGAAAACACTGCTTCCTTCGTGTTACAACGGTTATAACCACGTTTCGGCAAACGGAAAGTAACTTAGTCTGTTATGACCTCTTAATGTCGATATGTATTCTCGTGGTTAACCGTTGAAACTCCTTATTTGCACCACATCGCTGGAATTTTTCTCGCCAAGAATACGTATTGCGAAGCATTTTCTACATAGCGGAATCTTCTTTTGCCTTTTGTGAGGAATTAGCGCATAAAAAAGGAAAATTTTCCAGCGCACGGACGTCATCGATCGCGTGTTATCCCGCTTTGCTTGTCATCAAGTGAACTTCTGGGCCAAAGTAATTGTTGTATTGGCAATGATACAAACTGGTGTGTGTATCTTGAAAACAATTTCTTTACAAAAGTACATTCCTAACCTGGTCTAACCTGTTCGACGCCTACCTACGCTAAAGGTTTGGATCAGTTAGGTTAGAAAAGGTCTCAAAAAAATAAAAAACACATCTATATATAGGGCATAGCACAAACGGCTGGCCCATCATTTATGAGGTTCATAACCTGTATATTGTTCAGGTCCTTTCACTAATGGAAAAGGTCAATGTCAAAAATAATGCATGTCCCCTCTGTTACTCTGCAGTACTTCATTCGCTAAAGTTAACCATTTACCAGAACAATTTTCATTGTACCTTAAGGTTTCCATCCTTTTTCCACTATTGATAATACTTGTGAAAACATTTCATCCGCAGCAACGGCATTGATCACAACACAAATCATTTCGTCTCGACCCGACAGGGTATCAGGAACGCGCGCGGGAGTACAAGATTAAGTAATGACATACGCTTCGTACATTTTACTCTACGTATAGTACAAATCAGGACGAAACTTTATAAATTGATGTTTAAAAACAACCAATTTGGCCCATAGAGTAACGTCATCGCACAAAAATTCAGCAGAGTCAATGTTGTCGGAAGTAAAAAAAAAAAGACTTGAGGGTCCAAAATTCAACATTGATTTGGGGGGGAAGGGGTTGGGGTAGACAGGGTAAGGGGATAAGTATATCCACTATGCAAAAAGGGGCCATTTTACGGAAGTGTGTCAACACCTTTGTCCCTCATTGTAGTTTCATATAAGTTTAAAAGCAAAACGAAATTTCACTGAAATCCATGTTGGATGCACGTGACTTCGTGGATAGCCGGCACCATTCGTTATTCTTTTTTTTTTAAGTGTAGAGCGACAAGACAAAAGAAAAATATATGATCTTGAATTCCAACTGAGCTTGAGAAATTCTGATTTGTAGTGCAGTGTGGTACTATGGCCAGAATTGAATTTAAAACTTACCTCTTTGTATAAAGAGGGATGTAAAATCTAACTCCCTCCAAATAATTATTTAAAACCTTCCTTCTTGCCTTGAACGGTCTGGAACTAAAGGATCAATTTACAGAACTGAGATTTGAAATTTCCAGTTTTGCATGACCCTGTCAAAAATATAATATCAACAAAACATCAGGGGCATAGCTAGGAATTTTCAAAGGGGGGGATCACACCGTGTCACAACCAGGGTACTTTTGCATGTAGTTTGGGGTGTGGATTAATTTATGGTGAGTGTTTTGGACGTCTAAAAGTAAGTTGGGCGTATTTCTACTAATGATAATGAGACTGTTGTTGACGGTGACTGATCAGTGGAATAGCCAGAGGAGCGTTCCAGAGGTTCCGGAACCCCTCTTAGGCTGCAGCACTAGGTATAATTTTAAGAGGAATGAGATTTTAGCTTTTAAAGAAAATGAGAAGAAAAAAAAAAAAAGCATCACATTGTATTTCAAGGGTTACATATGTTGAGGTTTGAGCAGTCTTTGCAGTAGTCTTTTTTACTTTAATTCTATTACTGTGAGGAAGATCATACGTGGCCCCTGTGTATACAAGCCTGCAATGTGTGATTCAGCACCTTTGTTGGTCTCAATTGCTTTCAATTGCATGTTGTAATGGTTTGACTATGAGACAGCTTAATAGAAACTCAGTAGAGGCATAGAAGTCACAAGGTAGAATGAAATCAGCCTTGATGTTTGCAAATCAGTCTGAGGAAATTGTCTGAAACTGGGGCACAAACGCTAACAGCACGGCAAACTGCCTAAAACATACAGTATGCAGGAATTCATCATATGCCACCCAGGTTACCACGATGCAGTGCCTTTTCCTTACATAAAACCTACTCAGTATCAGGCTCCGAAAGCGAGACACCGATGTCTATTAGGATACCATCAGCTCTAATTTTCATGTGGGGGCTTTTCTGTTGGCAGTTCAAGTGACTCAAAGTAGAAAAAGACCTTCCTAGTAGTGCTGCGTATTTCAAGTACTACGTTACTTAGCCTGCGTAACAGGCGCTTGGAAGTAGTGGGCGCAAGAAAGAATGGGTGCGCGAGAAGGACACACGCGAGGGGTCTTCCTCTCCCCTCGCATGTCTCCCTCTCGCGCACC